CCCCCCCCCCATCACTACCCGCCTCTCCTCAACACCCTTCCCCCTTTTGCTCAAAATCTGCCGTGTACATTGAACCTAAACCAATCATTGCACCAGACCTTTCTCGAAAGGGTCACTTTGTAGCACATTGTGACTAGAAAATATCACAAGTGATAAAAAAAAAATAGATAATGGAAACAAGCTAGTGTGAATAACAGCAAACTGTGAAGACATAAAGAGGAAGTCGTTTCAAGAGATAAAAGTGCAGAAAAACAATTCATTAGCTAGAGATGTGTGAATTTGATTGAAATTCAAGAGGAACGTTGCAGCCAAGCCTTTGCAAGTTCCCAAAGGGTTGTTTTTCAACAAGTGGTTAATTACTCGGCAACTATTTTGGAAAAAAATAAAAAGCCAAAATTTTATTGGCTCCAAATTCTCATGTGACGATTTCATTTTCATTTTTATGGCTATAAGAAACATGGATTAGCCATTATTTTCTACTTAATGATACTGCAGTTTAATAGATTAAGGCCTTTTCTGAAAAAGGGCTGTGTCTTTGATTAACTCTGAATAATTCAGTGACAAAAGAGAAACAGTTTGCAGAATGGATTTAGGAGTATGTCCTTTCTCATGCCTTTATAATACCTCTCATGACTCTTCAGGGTTGTCAAACACAGACCACACCCATAACAAAACTTACTGTATTAATGTTTGTAAGTAGCATTAGTTTGAATGCTATGCACACAGAAAAAATACATATATAATTTATTTCCCCCTACCAAGTATCAGTACAAAAACCTAAATATTAGTATAATACTTAGAAAAACAATGCAGCTTCCCATTCTGACCAACAAAGCCACATATTTGCATAATGACCTGTTTCAACTCTGTTCCCATGAGCCACCTGTACTACAGTGCTTCTGTCACCAGTGCATAAGAGCGCTCATTTTATGCTCGGGCTCCTATAGAGGCCTCTGTGAGCACTAGATGCAGATGCATTCATGAAATGTAGGCTCCATTGTTCAGATCTTGAAATGAATAAGCCTATCTCAAATACAAGTTTAGCATTGGGCCTGAGTACAAGAGAATAGGACATGTAAAGGTGTGAGGTGACACACCTGAAAATTTGAATGCAATAACTGTTGTATTTTTAACATTTGCTGCTTTCTTATGATACTGTCAGCAGTGTTTCATATGAAGGATAAGGACTGATTCAAGACTATGGTCACATTTGTGTCAATGTATTAAATTACCTTGCTGTGCGAGCTGTTTAAATGCTGCATTAGCCAAAAGGAGACTGCACAAGTTCTCTTGGACATGACAAAATAGAACAACACTCATAATAAGCTCGTCAGCTTTGTGTCCCTTTTGGTACTGACCTGTGGCAGTGGGCTGGGAGGCTTGGTGAGGATGCCACCTATGTACACCACATGTGGAAGGGTGGGTCTGGGGAATTCCAGAGCCATGTCAGTGCACAGCATCCACAGCCGGCTTCCCTGCACCAAGTCAGCCATGGCCACTTGAGGCTTCACTCCGTGCTTCTTCATAATCCGGTCATACTTGGGCAGTGCGATGTAATGGACTCCAAAGCGCTGTACGAGGTAAACAGCTGTGTTTGCAATCCTCTGCATCAAGGACATGCGGTCGGTCAGCAGCGAGTTGAATTCCGGTACGTATGATAACGGGGCCGGGGCTCCAACCTCTGCAGGGTACCACAGGCCGGTGCTGAAAACAGCATATTGCACACCCAGGATATGAGCAATCACAAAACCGCACATTTCATTGGGGTCCACTAGCAGCAGGTCAAACTTGGCCTCTTTCAGCCGGTTCATTACTTCAGTATTGCCAACGACAGCATCGCAGTTCTGAGAGTAGTGGTCAAGAATGTCAAACAGTTCGAGAAATGTCAGGCGGCCTGAGAAGATGTTGGTGACTTTGGATTGGAGAAAATTGTCAGCTGTGGTGCTGTTAAAGATCCCTTGATAGCGCTGTAAATGGTAGTGAGGAGAGGGCGGGACCTCACGACCCTCTGAAACTAGAAAATGGGTCTCGTGGCCCTCCTTGTGTAGAGCTGTTGCCAGCGTTTTGAAGATGTAGAGGTGCGATTCAAACATGATGGGTGGGACCACAATCACTTTAGCTGCTCTTGTCGTACTGGGACTCCATGTGAGGAGGCCCAGGAGGAGTAGGAGTGATGAGGGTAGTAGCATGGCTGAAACAATAATAATAATAAAAAGAGCAATATTAGGATTACAGCTACAAAATACACAGTACAGACATTCCAATGCAATATTATAATACAGATACAGATCACTGTTTATCCATGAGCAATGCATCATAAAACTTTATGTTTACTAGGAGTTATTTGTCTGTGTGCTTTGCACCTTCAAGGAGGAGGCTGATGGAAAATTACTAATTAGAAAGAAGCCCGACCAATACCAAGAGAAGAAACGGCCAATTAGACGAGTTTATTTAGTCGAGATAAACCTTCATCTGTATCAGCAGAGCATGATTCAGAGAGTTGAAAATCTTATTTCCTGTTCATTGAACTTCAAGCCTGGAAATGAATTCAGCTGTATAAATTTTCTTTCAGTTCTCTCATACATACAAATCCATATTAAGAAATTACAAGGTCTCAACTTTTGTGCCGTTTCATTTTTCTGGCATCAAAACATTACATTTCCTTATCAACTTCTTCTTTCTTCTGACGTACTTCGATTCCACCGCTCCATGTCTAATCACCCTGTGCGCAACTGTCGCTGACATGGTGTGGGTAGCACCAACGTCATTGTGAACCTCCAGCCGCCCTATTCACAAATACAAACACAAAGAACTATTATTGAGCCTCCATTTCATAGCCTGTGCCCTATATGCCTACACTCATTCTCTCGCTCTCTCTCTCGGCCCCTCTCACTTGGATTAATGATTAACAGTGGGAGCTTTTTTATGGAGGGTCATCCACTATGCAGGTTACATTTATCTACAGTGGCTAAACCATAAGTTGCTACAGGTTGCTGTGTGGTGATGACATCCAAGGGAAATTTATGGGTGCTATTTAAATACCTATAGATGAATATAGAAAGTTGTATGTTGGTCTGGAAGCCTTTCAAGGGTGAGCCATTTATGATATCCTCTCTGCCCCACAATACATCTCCTACATTTTGTTTTGTCATGGCACAAGTAATATCTCCTGATTGTATTACAATTGCACCTGTTGATTCTGCTTGCCTTGTAGCATTCAATCATAATAGGAAGACACTTGTTTAATCACAATATGGAGTTTCTCTTTTCAAAGCGAGGTATGAAAAGGACTAAAGGGTGTCACCATTTTGCATTAAAATAGCCTCAGCATGTTGTTACAGACACTTCTCAGCACAGACTGTTGATGGTAACTATAGAAACCAGCCAATGTCTACTGAGGACTAAGATGCGTCATGACTTAGGTTACCAACAATGGAGTCTGGTTACCGTGTGTGCAGGGACAGCTGAGGAAGTGATCTGGATTCAGAGAATTGAAGGATATAATATTATGGGATTATATGGATGGAGACAAAATGAGATGGGGAAGATTAGAGCAAACTAGGAACTTATTTTAAAATTAATGAAACCTTGGGAAGACAGCTATTGTAGTTTGTAAGATAATAGTCAGCAGGGGAATGCTGGGAGATAAATCAGTGTAATGTTGATACTTTTGATATTGTGCGATTCATCTTACGAGCTAAGCCGCTGTTAAAATATACAAAGGTAATCAGACAAATGTGATGTAGGCAGTAATGGCTGCAAAAATCTACAATTAACATCTTAGTCTGCCCATGCAGGATACTGATTTCCTTTAGATTTACATGATAATTAACAATGATTAATAAACTATTAATCTTAACGAGATAAACTTTGTACAGTGCTTATTAGTCCACCACCCATTGTAAGACTTATGCCACAGCTGCTCTAAATTAACAGTATTGGTCATTTAAAGAAAAATCTAAATTTAATGTATCTGCAACAGTTAATCTTCCAGAACGCACCACCTCTTTAATCAAAAAGATAGAGACTCTGTTTTTTGTTTCGATGAAGATGCTAAATTACAGTTATTTAACAGAAAAAAAATGGTTTCAGTCGTTGAATATGATGCATGATCAATATCTGACAGCTCAGACGTGTCCAGACTAAAATTTGGTTGCCCAATAAAAAAAACCAATATAATCTTTAGTTTTAAACAAGTTTTTGGCAGATTTCTAAAATTGTTGTTTTTTTATGACAGGTGATCTAACAAATTAGTTAGGCAGTGTATGTAAGAAAAAAATATTATTAATGTCTTATTAATGAACAGAAAATGCTCTGGACCCACTCTGCTTTCCATCAGTCCACAATTCTATCCAGTTAAACAATAAAAAAAAACACAAAATGTCTTTTAAAGTTATGCTGTAATGTATAACTGTCTATAACTTACATCCAAAACTAAAACTTAAACTGATGTGCAATACATTGTTAGTGCTAGATTTTTAAGTGCATCGTACAATACCATACAAAATATTTCTAAAAAAACAACAACAAAAAAAACTAAGCATAACAACTCTTCTGCACAATAATTTGTATTTTTTTATTCAAAATCGACACAAAAGTAACTGAGAAAGAAACTATTTAATAGTTTTTGAGGGGGGGGACTTTAACTATGTCATTATCTTAAAATTAGTCTTCCATTCAGGTTCTCTGTTTTCTAGCATTTTCTGCACACACAATCTCTTATGCATTACTAAAAATCAAACCAAGTATAGTTTTGGCAGGAAGCACTTTTATCCAATCAGTGCCACAATGTGGTAATTATACCGTGATTAACACTCTCTAATGCAGACTAACGTTTTCGGGATGTAACACAGCAGGAGGCCCCTTGCTGTTTCCACAGAGGGGGTTCATTAGTTCAATTCACCCTGGTGAGAGCGGAGAAGTGACGTCCAAGAACTGATATTAAGTCAAACACAAGTCAGCCTTTAGCTATTTATTTTTGGCTCATATCTCTCAAGTGAAGCAAGATAAACTGGTCTTAGGTTTATTTGCTGCAAAAAAAATAAGAACCCAGCTGAGGACCTTGAAGGGCAAGACTGGCTAGCCTGAGGTAATAACGCTTGAATTTTAGAAAAATCAAAGAAAAAACACTCTAAAAGATTAAATGGACTCAGACATCCAGATGATGGTAGCTTTGAAGTCCTATTGCTCAGCTAGCTGGTGACTACTGGCGGAAGACGGCTTCGTAACCTGCTGAAAGGTGTTAAGGGTGATGCAATCCTTTTATTTTAAATCATGCCTGAGGTTAAACCCTCATAATGAAATTTGACATAGCAACACGTATCTGGGCCTAGTGGCTGCATACAAGTGTCATCAACAAAAAAATGCAAGTGCACATATGTGTGAAAAGTTATAACAGGTCAAGTATATAAAAGGTTAGTTGAAATTCTGTGATATCTGGAAACATAATACTTTGTACTGTTAACTCTAAGATGGAAGGTGATGCAAGAGCACTTCACAGATAAGTAAAGGTCAAGAGCCTTTAGATCTTGAATTTTGGTGAAAACAAGCTGAAAAGTGGGGGGGTAAAAAAAAAAAGACAACTTGGCTTTCCCAGGCCAAAACATGTGAAACGCTGTTTGTAATAGCAACAGGGCTTTTTCTTCTGCACGCCCTTATCTCTTAAAAGCTTCATCAGCATTTTAAGGAAAAGGTAATAAGCACAATGGCTACAGGTATCTGCTCAGACACAACGTGTTCTCTCCTGACAAAGGGAAAAATTACAGCTTTTTGTCCAGTATAAGGTATTTTCCAATCACCTTTACCTTAATTCTGAACACGTGACTACCCTTACTGCTCCCTCCCTTTCATCATGATTATGACACTGCTACATAAGAACAGGTCGGACAGGCTCCATCTTTTACAACATTGTGTCAGCAAATAAACAAAGAACTAGACTGCGACAGAGCGAATGAGTTTACAGTGATGGTATCTCATTAATGTGAACTACAGATAAGGAAGCACCAATCAATGTGGACAGACATGGTCTGTCTTTTTCAAGAGATAAACATTGTGTCAGGAAATAAAGAAGGATAAAATAAAAAGGAGACTAGGATAAAGGCAATGTGTTCCAGCAACCAATGTGAACCAGAAATAAGAAAGAAGTGATGGATGTGATAGTGATGGTATTAAATTCCCCTATTTGCTTAAAAATATTATCAATGGGGAAACAAAATAGGTTAAGTAAGTGGGAACACAATCTGTTAAGTAAGGCAGGCTGTCACAGTCTAGGAGGGTTATCCTTTTATCCCTTATAATAAGGGTAAGACTTGAGCAAAGGCACACGTCATAACACAAACCAGCAGTCTGACTGTTAAATCAATACCGCAAAGAATTTCTGAGGACGAAATTCATCCCAATCGAAATTCAAGTTGGACTTACGTTGGTCTGTTTAGCAGTGACTGTCACACACGCAAGAGTGACATAACTACCTCTGGCCTGACAGAGACTGAGCAGTCAAGAAAAAGAAAAATGTCAGGTGATCACTTTGCGTCGGAGGAACAGGACTGGCTTAACAGGTGCTCTGATGTTGACCCTCCCACAAGGAAAAAAAAGTCACAGAGAATCGCCGTCTTTACGCTTGGTATTGAAATACCTTAGCTTAAGGTCATATAGGACAGTCCACTGGACACGTGATATTAAACTGTAAACTCTCAACATCTGTAATGGAACATCAAAGTCCGGCCAACAGATTTGATATCATGTGTGATAAGTAAGCTAACTCAAAAAAAACAAACAAAAAAACCCACCAATGTAGTAGTGGTCGTGTTTGCCTATTTCTACAGGTCTTTATATGTTTTATAGCTCTCTCTATATATATCGATCATAGCTTAAGTCGTGGGTGAAAAGGTTAATCCTTCAAGTCCAGAAGCGCAAAAATCCAGGGACCAAAAATTATATTTTTATGAGGAAAAATGTATGAATAAAGCTGCCCACCACGCACACACACATACACACACACATATATATATCCAACTCTGCAAAATGGATCAGCTTTTGAATTTAAGGAAAAAATGCGAAACAATGATTCTCGGCTAAAGAGAGACATTTTCGGCGTGGATATTTCGCCAGGGACGTGAACACAGCATAAGATAGCAACCCGACTACACCTGCACCTTGAGGGGGATGGGGACAGCCGGCTGAGCTTTAAAAGAAAAGGTAAGAAAGTAGCCTGTAACCTGTCATCTTCATCAATATCAGCCACCTGTATGAAAAAATAAAACTGCCAAGTTTTATGGGCGAACCAGGTAAAAGCACCTGTTGACTAAAAGTTCGCCTGGGTTGGCCTTACCTGGGGACTTCAGTGTAGTTCGGGAGAAATTAAAGGTGAAACTGCAGCAGTCTCGATTTTCCTGAAGAGAATTTTACGCGTCGTGTAGAAACAACGCAAAAGGTAGTCAGTAAAACACGTCCCCCGGCAACCGAGAAGGAGCGGAGGGAGCATTAAACTCAGAATCCCACACAGGAGTGGCCGAAAGGCGGGGCTATCTGTGTTGCAGGATGGAAGTGAAGGGAGTGGCAGAGAGAAGGGAAAAAACACGACGGAGCGGTGGAGTATAACAGCCCATACAGGTAAGCCTACATACTAGTTGTAGGTGACTCAGTTTGCGTTGACACAATCGGTTTTGGTTTTGTTTTGTTTTTTGTTTTTTTTTAATGAGCGTAGCGATCGAAGGTAAGGTAGAAAATGAGGCGCCATGTTAAGTCTTTTAAATTCAAATCGATTAAATCAAGCAGAAAATTAAATTATATTCACTTTTATTTACTGTTATTTGTAGCCACTATCAGTGAGTTTGGACTTGTGTAATGACCGGATATTATGAGGTCTCGTAGTATCACTTCATAAGGCACCCTTTACAAAAGATTTCTTTATTTCTCTCACCTTTTATGTGGGTGTGCTTCTAATTAGTTCCTGATGGTGCCGGTATTCAACACTCGGCCCACCGAAACTCATAAACGCTTCTAAATGCTGGGTGTGAACAACTTTAATACGCCGTCTGTTCCATTTCTTTGTAAGTTTGTTTTAACAGTAAGAAGAATTATAATGGATAATCAAACGATATCAGCTGATGACAGTGTGAATAAAATATATATTTTCCCAGATCATCCATTTACAGGAATACAGCACTATATGCACACTATACCGGATATTAGCTGCTTTGTTGTTATTGCTTTTGGGAAAGTGGGCTTGCTTAACTCCCCACCTACAAAAAGGTATGAATAAGGGAGAGATTCTTATCAGACAGCAAAGAGGTAGGAATAAAGAATTTAAAGGGGGTGATTGCAATAAATGCTGACGGTGTAAGTTGTAACTGGTGTCACACAAAGAAGCAGGTCTGTTTACACAGCAAACACAGAAAAATAGGTGGGAATGCAACGTAATTTGGATGGTGGGGTTGGGCAGGGTGGGGTTGGGGGATACTGGAGAGCAGGACCATAATGTGTGTTGCTAAAGACAAATGGATGGTTCTTCTCTAACTCACAGTGATTCATTTGTTTATAAGCCTGCCCTCCACACAAAGACACCCCCGCCCCCCTACATTCAGTGCCCTCTCCATCCCATTTCCTCAGCTATGCCCTGAGTCATCACAATATGCAATTCAACTACTGGCTGCTGGGCCTGAGCATCCACTCAGTCCACCAATCCAAAGGGAGGCCTGTATGTGGATTTAGAGCGTATGCAACCATGTACTTGTTATTTGTCTGTGAGCTGGCCTTCAGCCTTCACTCGCCCATTATTATATGTCTCTATCCTACTCTACCCCTGGACACTATTTCTCTCTGTTTCACTCTCTCTTTTCCACCCCCCTCACTCTTCCGATGCTATTGTCTTTCTCCCCCACCCCCCAGATATCAGGTGCGTTACCTGAGCCCCATATCAATAGTTAATCACCCTGGGACACTCAATCTACAGCTCGCTGGCGAGGTCTCCCATTGAGAGTGGCGGCATTCGTGGTGTGCATCTTCATCTGTGTTTGAGAACAGAAAGCCTGCAAAGACTTTTATATTGTAACAGAAGCTGCTGTGTGTGCTGGGAAGGAGAATGGGCAAGGAAACAAGAAAACTAGAAGAGAGCGAGAGAGATCAGTAAAAGAAGTGTAGACACAGAGGGAATGGGGTAATAAAGATCACACTGCACATGTGTGCATGTACCGGAAATGAGCAAATCTGACAAATAAGTGCTTGTGTGGAATTTTAGTTTGCGCGTCTTTGTGTATTCAGGGAATATAAAACTGACATGGTCGGGGAGCAGTCCTCGTCAAAAAAATGACTGGGCAGTAGTTGGAGGACAAAGAATGCTGAAATGTTTGATTCATTTGTGTTTGTCTTGTAAACTGGACCAAAATAAAAATTTTAAATGGGGCACTGTGCTTCATGTCCTGTGCTATCCCCTAGTGGAGAAACAATAGTATTACAATTTAGTGTGAAGCTGCCTGTGCTAACATGTTTAAAATAAAGGTGTGTTGTTGAAACAAGGGCACTGATGACCTTTTAAAGAAAGTTCCCAGTTCAATTTCTGTAATTAAAATGGATAGAATAGCCTTTATTGTCATAGTACATGTACAACGAAATTGTGGGTGCTCCACACCAACTGTGCTGGAATAAAATATAAGTAGTAGACAGCAGGAATAAAGAGCAAACAAGTGAAACGTGCAAAAATAAGAGAAAGGAACACATTAGAGAACAAGTTGCAAAGTGGTTGGAAGTACTGCAAAGAAAAGACTTGGTCTGAACAGAGTCCGTGTGTGAGTGGCCTGAGTGATGAGCGTTACTAAGTCCATGATACTCAGTTCAGATTAGTGAGGTGGGTGGTCATCAGTGGGGTGTAGGGGGATAGTGTTTATTAACAGTCCAAATGGGCCCACGGGAAGAAGCTGTTTGTGAGTCTGGAGGTGTGGGACCTAACTGACCCAGGGGGCAGCAGGTCAAACAGGTGGTCATTTGTGATGGCCCAGGTTTTCCTGAGACAGGAGGATCAGGCGATGGCCTCTAGGAGTGGCAGAGGGCAGCCAATTATTTTTCTGGGCAGTGTTAATTACCCTGTGCACAGCCTTCCTGTTCACAGTTGTGGCCCCTGCGTACCAAACACCCAGGCAGTAAGAGAGTGCGCTCTCCACTGAGGAGTGGTAGAAGGCCAGCAGTAGCTTCTGGTCCAGGTTATTTCTTCTCAGGACATGGAGGAAGTGCATCCACTGCTGGGCCTTCTTTACTAGGGCGACGGTGTTGTGGCTCCAGGTCAGACCAGCAAAGCTATGGGTGCCCAGATGGATGGATGGGATGTTGACCAGTTACTCAATTCATTAGACAGGCTGGCTTTGTAAGAAGTTGAATAAACCAAGGAAGCCAGTTCATTGGTTACAAATAGGTCAAATTTAAATGTTTTGCAGGATTCTGCTGTAATACAATCATATATATTTTGAAGAATGAAAAGAATTATGACCAGAAAGGCTGTTTTTATGAAGACCGACACTATGTTCTGCTCGAAGTATATTTCAGTAACTAATTAGCTGATTCCGGTTGATTAGTTGGCTTACACCTCTTTTTTTGATGTCATGTAATATGTAATGATCACCACAAGGGGGAGAACAAATACCATGACCAAAAAGCCTGTATTAAGCTCTGTAAGTTGGCCACTAAGTGATAAGTTAATCAGCCTTTCTGTCAGCAACCTTTCTCCTTTACATTTTAAAGCTTATTTCTCACGCTAAGTAGGAATATATACACATATACCTGTCTTTTCTTTACATTTTGCTTCCAAGGAACCAGACTTTCTTATCCCATGATTAAGACCAAGTGGTATTACGCAATAGTTCTGAGAGTTTTCCTTTGCACATTGGCTATTTAAAAAAAAAAAAAATCATTTTCAGTCCAGTCTATTTTTAGAAGAAGGGTTGTTTTCGGAGGGGTGATTCTTGCTTAGCAGAAAACAAATTCAAAACTGGTTCTCTGCCTTAGGTTACATAATTTGTTCCAATTTCTTTAATTTGACAGTTTAACAGGTATAAAATAGTATTTTGCAACAACACAATGATTTCCAAGCTGTTATCGGACAACCTGGCATATCTCACCATGATGCGCAGTGTGGTGTTCAAGTAAATTTGAAGAACCTGGAGGACAAAAGAAGAAGTGGAAGGTACAGGAGGTACAGGAGAGAGATACAACAGTGAGTGTTTACAGCCATCTGTGAAACATGGTGGAGTCTCTGCCATGAATTGGAGCGGTTGGGAATCATGTAAAAATGAATGGAAATATAAATGCAGACAAGCAGCATTAGATTTTAACCACCATGCAATACCATTGAGAAAGCAACCAACTGGTAACATCGTCCTCTTTTTTTTTTTTCTTCTTCTTCTTCTTTCAGCATGCGAATGATCCCAAACACACTGCTAGTGCAGCACAAGCACATACTTGGTTAGAAAAACACAAAATAAAATACTATCAGTCATGGAATAACCTCCCCAGAACCTGGATTGCTACATTATTAAAGCACGGGATCATCCTGACAGAAAATAAAACAAACAGCAGTCAGGATCCATAAAAGAGCTTTGTAGGAACTCTGTTTTTGCCTTTTATGTATCTATAGTTTCAGGCATGTTTGCATGTTCATACTATAATGACTGTAGCTTCTGTTTGTATGTTCCTCCTAGAGGAAGAGTTCTTCCTCCTAGACAAGTGCATCAATCTTGACGAAATTTTGCAAAAACATTGCCTAGGGTACTGTAAATCCAACATCTATGTAAATATTTTATACAAACTACACTGTCATATATAATTGTACATGCGATGGCTCAGTTTAACTAAATAATAACCTTACAAGGCATTCACTGTGTGCTACGCACAGGTCTTTGTATTTATAAAAAATGCAATTTTTTTATACATCCAAGTTTACTGTGTTTCATGTGACTTATGTCATTTTTAGATCAGTGATCTCCTGTCAAATCTCCCAACTTGAAAACTGAGTGGACCGATAGTGGGACAGGGATGCAATAGTATATGGAAACACTGCAGGTGGATTCACTTGATTCATTTGGATAGTCAAAAAAGTGTGTTTCTTTATGTCATTCATGTCCCATACGACTGAATATAAGAGACAAAGTGATAGATGCTGAATTTTGTCCTTTGTAAGTCATAGATGTTAAACGATTACCTTGTCAGATAGTCATTCAATCATTTTAATGTGAGTCACAGAAATACAGCAGAAAAAGCACCCATAATTGTTTTTTAATATCCCTAACGTTGTTCTTTCTGTCTCCTCCTCAGTTTTCTCTCTTCCTCTTTCTAATGCTAGCACAGTAGCTCTTCAATCAGCCTTCTCAGCGATCAGCATTTTGTTTTCGTCCACCTTATCTCCTGTTTGCAGTTCCCTCTCTGTCATTATTTTGCTATTAGTTTTTTATCCTGGGGCTAAAACATTGACCTTAAAGTCACTGCTATGCTCAAAACATGGTTTGCAAGATAGCTTTTTCCTCATCCCACATC